ATTAATTTATCAATTGATTACATGATGAAAAAAGAAAAAAGAAAGAAAAAGAAAGAAAATAATAAAATAGACTCAATTCTGGTCTTGCTTAACTTCTTGGCTACTGTGGAGGTGGTGGCAGTTCAAAACATTTGCATCTTCATCTTGGTGAGAGGTCTTTCACTAGGAAGAATGGTCACCATCTAAGCAAAATGGCGATTTCCACAATAATTCGCAATTCGCAGTATATCGGAAGTCACGTGGCATGTAACTGGCGTAGCAAAAAGAATTTATAAATATAGGTGAAGAAAGAGAATAAAGGATTGAGATTTTTAGGACGAATTCAGGATGGAGAGGACAGTGAAAAGAATGAAAATGAAGTGGGTAGTACAAGGTAAATAGATAAATGAAAGTAAGTAGTAATAAGTATTGATAAGTAATATCAAGAAAATAAAAAAAAGAAGTAGGGGGGCAGCGACAATTAAAAGAGAAACTATATAGATGAAGATTAATGATAACAGAATGTGATAAACAGGAATGATAGTGAAAATATGATGACAATGAAGAGGATAAAAAATATAGTAACACCATTAATTAATAATTTAATTACTGTGATCATAAATTCCTAAGTCTTTTAATTAGTTTTAATATTTAACTTAAAATTATTCTTTTATTCTTTTTTTATTATCTTCTTCAATTTATAAACTAAAGTAACTGTTTATAAGTTACTAGTTATAAATTGTTTTTTGGAAAACAAAATTACCCAAAAGGTCAACTATTAATAACATCTTATATGAGTTAATCTAAGTCTCATTTTTTCAAATAAATATTAGAATAAGTTGTATATTTTGTATTATGTAATTCTATGTAATATAAAAGACTTTCTCTTTTTCTAATTAATAAATTTGAGACAAAACCTTATTAAAACAAAAAAAAATAATAATAAATTATTATTTTATAATATATATGACTAATATTTTTATATAAGATACTTCATATTTCAGGCTTTAAGGTGACTTAATATAACATTTATTATTAAGTTAATAAACAATCAAGTTTTTTAGATATTTACAATTAATATAATTATTTTCAAATTTTTTTATTTTTTTAAAATTTTTTTAAATTTCAGTTATTTTTATTCATGTTTAAGTGAAGTCAAAATTTTATTAGATACTGAGAAAACTGTTAATAATTAAAGTTGTAAATATTATTTTTGATTACAATTTTATATAAGATAGTTGGTATCTATTTCTAATATCTATCGAATGTGGTATAGGTAATGATTTAAGAATAAATTTATTATTTTTTGTCAATTTCATTTTAAGTATAATATCTCTATTTATAGATGTTCAATTTTATCACAAAATGTATCATATGATAGTTTTAGTTTAGAAGAATCTAATAAAAAAAGGTTGTGCAATTTAGATTACTTGTTGTATCACAATTAGAATTTTAATTTTAGCAATTATTTCAAATTTTATTATTTCACAAATACTTTTGCTAGAGGAATGTATATAAATGTTTGTATCATGTGATTGAATAATTTAATAAAAATTTATTATAATTAAACATACCATTATTTCCAATTTTAAAAGGATTAAATAGTCCAATATAAAGTTTTTTTCTGTAACCAGTCATTCTATAATATTTTATAATAAAACAATTAATTTCAACTAAAAGCATGAATATTTTTTCAAATATTATATTTATATTAAATACTGTAAAATAATTTGAATAGTATAAGGATTATTATTTCATTCAATTGAAAATAATTCTTGACCAGATAATCAGTAGACAATCCAGTTTTTATTACTTAAAACTTCAAACTCAGATTCTATTTTTACATCAATAATTTCTAGAGGAGTTCCAGTAAATACTACTTCTTTAATTAGACCTTCTTTAAGCATATTTTTATGACTAAAATAAAAATAATTAATATAATAAAGCAAATATAAAGAAATATAATAAATATTATATTAACACAGTCCCCCCACTTTGTGAAATTTTTAAAGGCTCTTCTTCAGATTGTTCTTCAGTAAAGTGATAGGCAGATTTTTACTACTACTACTAATAGTGTTATTATTATTAAGCTCGTGATATGACTGGTCGTGACTACATGCTGCACAAGTATATGGAAGGCATTTACACTGACTATTACTACTGTCTGAAAGTGCATAAACACATTTTCCAAACATTCTTTTAAAAATTAAATTCTTAAAGATAATTTGAATAAAAATTTTTCGCATACTTTTTTTTAATATAAAATTTGTACTTTAAGGAGTATGAAGCACCAACCAAACTGATAAAATTCATTGAAATGAATTTTATCACAGATAATTCAATTGTATCGCAAATAATAATATTGTATCGCATATAACAAAATTATATCTCAGATAATTAAATTGTATTGCAGATAAATAAATATTGTATATTGTATATTGCAGATAGTTAAATTTGTATCGCGATACAATATAATTATCTGTGATAAGATTCATTTATTATTATTATTTTTTTTTTAAATCCAATATAAGAGCAATACAATTTAATTATCTGTGATAAATTTCAATTATCCGTGATAAATTTCATTTATCTGTGATAAAGTTCATTTATCGGCGATAAAATTTTTTTATCTGCGATAAATTTCATTTTCTGTGATACAGTTTTTTATCCGCGATACAAAATGATCATTTAAAAAAATCAAAAAAAAAATTAAATTTTATGTGACAAAATCGAATGAAGACAAAAAAATTAGAAAGGTTTTATTGGTTAAATTTAAGAAAATAAAAATTTTGGTTATAGACTAGCCGCACTGTACTAAGATAGAAAGAAAGACTTATTCTTGGCTACAAAGTATTTCATTCTGATAGCGTTTAAATTCGAAAGTTGGTGAAAAATTTCTGTCATAAATTTTCTGTAATTCTGGCCAGAATTATGAAAAATTCCGTGACAGAAATTTTTCGAATTTAAACGTTAATAACTCCGCAAATATCGATGCTATCAGGATGAAACGCATATTTTTTTGTAGCCAAGAACAAGACCTTTCGTTCCATAATAGAAATATCTTAGTAGAAAATCGCTCTACGCTTCGTAAATCACAAGTGAAGCCAAAAAATGTAAATGAATTTTGGCATATGAAATAATTACAGCAGCCAAAATTATTTTTGGCAATTATATTTTTGGAAAATGCAAAAACAATTAAGGTACCATGTATAATTATCAAAGATTTTGTCAAAGATATTGTCAAAGATCTTGTCAAAGAAAATAATGTATATAAAGGCCGGGTTTTTTTCAGCTTTTTAGTTTTTCGGTTCATAATTTGTTTTTTGTTGTTTTAATTCAATTTAGAAATTTAGTTGATAATAAAAAGAGTAATGTACTTACTGTATGTATAAATTTACTTAAGGGCAATGAATAACAATATATTTTTTTTCCAACCAGCCACGTAACAACCTGTAAAATAGTAAAAAGGAAATTGAATTGATTGTGTTGTATCATCTCTCTAAAAGAAAAAATAAAATAAAATAAAAAGTCTCAACGCAAAACCGCCATTAATAAATAAATTAAAATACTTCAAAAATAATTAATAATAAATCGCGTATTTTATTTTATATTTACACAGATATATAATTTATTTTAATATACAAAAATATACAAAACCATTGTATACAGTAAAAATTCATTTTCATTAATAAGAATGAACCTTTTTTTTTAAAAAAAAAAGAAAACCTTACAATGGAAGTTCACCTGAAATCTAAACTTATTATCTTGAATTCAATTTCTTATATCATTTGTAGTTTATATAAATATTAATCTTCTTTTTGTTGTTTCTCGAGTAAGCAAATTTAATAAAATTTATTTTAACTATAATTTAATTTTGCAAAAAATTGTTACATAATTTTACAATAGAAGTTTTATCAAAAAATGAGTGATTTAAATAATACAATTTATTTGTCTTTACATTATCCATCTATTTAAAAACATATTTTTAAGTATATACAATATTTATTATGTATTCATAGAAATTTGAAAGAAACATGAAAAAAAAGATAATTACATTGTTTAGAAAATAAATATTAAATTTCATACAAGTCTCCATAAAATTTTATTGAGACCATTTCCAAGCTTCACCAGCATTTTCATTGAAACCAGCGATCTTACGAAATTTACCATCAGGAGCAGATTCTTTGGAAATTACACGTTTGATATCTTCTCTCAAATCTTCATGACCAAGCACAATACGATCTGCAAAATGATGATTCGTGTCACGGTGTGTAACTTCGTCTGCGCGAATTGCCAATACTACATCACGAAGAGTTGCGGTTTCGCGATCTAAATGCCAATAATCTATTGCAATATCAGGAACATCTTTGATATTTTGAATATGTCCTTCATCAATTTCTGTAAAATTAAATAATAAATTAAATATAAATATAAATATATATGTATATATATTGTATGTATAATGGGAATTACCTTTGAGAAATGAAGTATAACTAACAATTGCTTCTTCTTCAAGGTAGCCTACAACACGATGAGCAGTTCTTGGACTAAGAAGATACAATGCAAAGAATGCATTATAGAAAATTCCTTGTACAGCGGTGATCAGAAAACGTTCCCACATTTTAGGTTGGGCAATGCGCATCCATGTCATCAAGTGCATACTTGTAATATTAATGTTAAATTATTCAAAAATTAAAATAAATTATTCGGAATTATTTAGATAGTTACCGTTCGTTTTCGGCTTCATGAAGCAAATGAGAAATCCAACCACCATCATGCTTCATCTTTCTAAGTGATTTGAGATGACGGATAGAGCCACCTACCATTCCAGGAACTGCTGCAACCTACAAGAATTTGGTTAGTATTAATTTTTAAAAGAAATTTTAGGAAAAAAAAAAAAAACAATTTACCGTTTCCAGCATAACTGAACGATGAATGTATTTCTTTTTGAAAAACCAATCACTAGGAACTCTCAATGATTTGACCAAAGCAAAAGCAAACTTATCTGAAATTGTTACAGGTTTTCTATGGAGTTTAAGCTTTACATCTAATTTTTCAAGATCTGCAGTTTTCAAAGGTTCTTTTGATTCGATGATCTCGTGACGAACAGGTTCAGGATGATGAGTATGCAAAAGAATTTCCAAAGGCATATCTGAAGCTATATCATTGCCTTTAGAGGAATTATTAGATACTGATGTTGACGGGCTAACTATGGAAGGAGATGATTGCTTTGTTGGATTAAAGGTAGAAAATTTGTTATGTAAGGTAATTGGAATCAAAAGAGTTCTGTGTAAATTGATGGATTGTCGATTTAAGAACAAAGAAGTGACAATCCTTTTGAATGATAGCAAAGTGGTCGTTCTAATAACCGCTGAGTGTAACATTGTGGGTATGCAATGCTTAAAATATATTTAAAATTTCTAAAAAGAATAATATTTCTGATAAAGAGAAAATCAACGAAAGTTGAAAGAATTTGATTTCAAAAAAAAAGCTGCATTTATATATGGCGGAATATAAGTTGTATGACAAATAAAGTTTACCCGAGTTGGAATTGCTCGAAAATTTTATCGACTTTTCATGATTCATTTTACGATTCTTGCCGAATTTCGGAATTTCGGGCAGTCAGGTGAAATGTTATAGCAAAAATTTTGTAGTATGTACGGTAGTACGATTAAATGTTCTAATTTTTATAAGGATAAATTTAGGTTACGAAAAGCTATTTTGTACCGTACGAATTGACTGTATGGTTATCAAAAAAGGATTTATACCCGTGACCTAACCCTAAATTTGACTTTAAATAGCTTTTCGTACAGTACAGTACAATTTATCCTTTTTTTTTTTTTGTGCAAAGCTCGCAAGCACAATCAATTAATCTTTGATAAAATGGACGAAATTATTGATAATGAGCTCAGTTCTAATATATGAGTCAAGAATTGTAAAGCTATTTTTTCTAAAATTATTCAACTTTACCAATTGAATATCTAAAGACTGTATATAATATTACAGGCTGACTAATATTTATTTATAATCAATGTTATTTATAACCAATGTTAATATTAAAAAATTAATAGTGTAAACTAAATTTAGGTAAATGTAATGTAATAATCAAAATAGAAAATTTTTGGAAATAAAATCAAAAGAAAAATACTAAAAATAAGGTCCGAGCTTTAGAAATACCCAAAAAAATAAAATGAAATGTTAACGAAAAAATGCCTGATTTAGAGAAAAGTCATTAGGTTTATTGTAAAATATATAAAATACATAAGTATACATTTTAATAAAGTTTTATTATAAAAATTATTTGTTTATAAAAGTATGTTTCAGATACCGTATGTACTTACTATTTCCAAAAACCCTTTTGCCCACATGTTTTTAATGTGATCTAATTCTTCTCAGCCAATCATAATTCAACAATGTTTTAATTTTTAAATTAAATATAAAATAGGGAAAGTATTTGATTATTATTGTAAATTGAGCATTCAAATTCTCACGAGTAGGAACACAAGTAGAAAAATCCAAATATTTCTCTTACCGTATATATATTTTATATTAAAAATTTTTTACCATAAAGATAACTTTTAAAAAGGAGGATGAATCGAAAATAAATGTTAATTATCATAATTTACTTTTTTTTGTCAATAATTTCACTTTATTTAATTTTAATATTTGTATATTAAAAAATAATAAATGATATCTATAATAACAGAAATATTAAACATAACATGGGCAATATCATTAATATGTTCCATATACATGACATTGGTCTTCTGGCGTAGTCGGAAAAATACTTTAATGAATATATTTTGTATATTTATTGTATTGTTGAGCATTGATGTATTATTAAGTTTAATTTACTTCAATGATCTAACAAAAGTTCCTCGTAAAATTTGCATATTTCAGGCTTTGATGGTAAAATAAATTGTTACATAAATATTGAATTAAAATTATTTCTCAAAGGTTATGTGCTAATTTCGTTAATTCTCGATTTCTTTTCGTATCTCCTCTTCTCATCATCCTCATCCCATCCTCATCGCGCGTATAGCTTCAATTTTGTGCTTATGCGACAGGCATTACGGCCTTCTGTTTTTCAATGCAAACCTATAGACGCATAGTGTTAAATTCTAGAGAAAGCCATCGCACGGAATTATTTTATTATTCATTATGCATCTTGTATCCGTGCATTATGACAACAATTCTTGCTACTTTTGCGATTATAAATGATTCCATTAAACCACGAGGAATGACTTGGTACGTTTTTCGAATAAGAAATTTAAAATAATTTAATTTTATTCTGATAAATTATCTTATTTAATGTTAGTGATGTCGTGAGACCAACTTGGATGCGATTAGTTGGATATACAGGACCAAATCTTATATTAAGTCCTCTTGGGGTGTATTGGAGCGGTTTGTATCTTTACATTTTGAATATTTTGTTAAATATTTTTAATTAATTATATATTATATAAAAATTTCTAAACCTATCAAAATTTTCAAAATTTATTTTAGGTCGAACAGCCTTAAAAGTTTTTCGACAGCAAGATAAAATTGAAAATGGTGCTATTGTTCCCCAAGTACCTTCTCCGATAGAACGTGATAATTCGTCAAATAAAAATACCTCGAAAATGCATTCTTCTCAAGAGGGATCTACTGATGGGAAAAATTTTCCCCATTCCATTCCCATTTCAACCTCTGATGTTTCCGATAAACCACCTGATCATGCCAAATATCGAGTAGCAGCGAAACGTCTTGCTTCATTCGCATTAGGATTTTTACTGATAAATGTAATCGCATCTTTTTCCACGCTTTGGGGCGTAATTAAGAATAATAAATCCATGTCATCTAGAATAAGTTCAAGTGACATAATAGGTAGCTTATTAGGCATAAGTATATTTTTAATATTTGGGGGTTTTGAGAATTTAAAACTTTTATTTGGTAGGTAAAGAAATAAGTTGGATAATTTATAAATATTATAATTGATTCATTTCTTTATTTATGAGCGCACATAATGATCAGATAAATAAATGACCGTTAAATAATATACATATTATAATTTAATAAAGACAAAATTAAGATAACTTTAAATTGTCACAAATATTTTCCTTCTTTTGTTGATTTATTTAATATAATGTATATATAATGCACATTTTTGCTTTCTAAAAGAAAAATGTTTTAAATCCTATTTAAATCCTATTTTCTGTCCATATCGCCACGAACATATGCTACAAAAGATTTCCAACTTGGTAAGTTATTAACAACTTCTGGAAAATAAAGTCCATTTTCTTCACCATTTTGATATGATTGAATTGAAAAATCCTCTATATTATCATCATCAACTTTTTCTTGTGATTTTAAATTGTTATCGTCCTTATTGTCTTTATTATCTTTATTCGTTAATAATAATCTAATTGAAGAATCATTATCATTATTATTTTCAATCTGAATTGGCTGTTTGGAATCATTATCTATTATTGACCAAAGTATTGAAAAGAATTTATCTTTATCCTTATTTACAGATGATGATGAATTTATTGAACTATTTTCAATACTAATTGGTTGTTGTTTAAAAGTTTCATCTATTATATTGTTAGTTTTATTAGAACATATAATATTTTCAACAGGTGGTTCTTGATGACTTTTGTCATCACTTTGTCTCTTTCGTTTAAAATTAGAAGATGGACAAGATCTATAATCATCAAATAAAAGAGGATTTCCAATATTATTGTAATTATCATTAATAGTTTTAGATTCATTCAAAATTGTCGTATGTGCACTATTATTACTATTACTATTATTATTATTACTATTATTATTATTATTATTATTGCTTTTTGTTCTAATCGATTTATCTAATCCAGTTAATTGTTCCCATTTATATGTATTAATCTCTTCATTTTCAAAACTAGTTCCTTTGTTATTATTTCCCTTAGATGTATTGTCTTGTAATATTTCATCTTCCGAAATATCTTGATTAATCTCATCCGAAAAAGATTTTAGGTATTCACTATTTAATTCATAATCGCCAATTTCCGATATATTCATTTTTAGCATTTGAGACAAAATACAATCAAAACTAGAAATTTGTGAAGATTTATTTCTCTCATCATCCAAAAATTTGGATTTCTTGTTATTAATATAAGCAGTATCATCGATGGAAACCACAAATTCATCACTCTTGGATTCTGATGTTTCTATAATTTTGAATAAGATTAAGTATAAAATTTTTGCTTAAAATTAAATATCAAAATAATTCAAAAATTACCTTGATCTTTCATAACATCATTTTGATATTTTTGATGTTTTTGATTACTTGGCATAGTTGGTGACACCAAATATTCCTCACTATCACTTTCAGCTGTACGTATTATTAATCTTTCCCAATCAGACTCACTAAAATCATGAGACGATAATTCATGATCTCGAGATTCAACAGCTCGTTGTTTCTCTGATTTTTCTTTTTTCTCTCCAAATTTATTATTCATAAATGATATATCTTTGTTAGAACTAATTCTATTTACTAACGAATTTACATGTTTTTCATGCTTTTTTAATCCACGTTCCCATTCCAACAATGTTAATTTTTTGTCCACCAAGTTTTGAGCAATTTTTAATGCCAATTGCAGTTGCTTTTCCTTTTGTATCAATTTTCTTTCTAGTTTATTCAAACTTTCCTCGGATTTTTTAATTTTCCGTGATAAATCATCGAAAGATTCATAGGAAGAATCAAGATCATGTAGTGAATTAGAATCTAAAGAATGACTACGAAGTATAATTGAATTTTAGTATTTTACCAAAATTTTTTTTTTAAAAAAAAAAAAAAACTTTATAAAAAATAAATCATTTCACATCAAAAACTTTACCTGAAAGGATTAATAGTTCCTTGTGAATTTTTATCCACGAGTGTATTCAAAAATTTTTCAATTATTATTCTATTTTCATCTGTTTTCTTTTCTCGTATTACAATATCTTGTTGTTTTACCATTAAATCAGCTACAATTTTTTGCATTATTTCTAAAGTCCTTTTACAATGTTCAGTTTCCACATTATCATTTGATTTTGACTTTATTTTTATTTTTATTTTCTTAATTTCTTCCAAAAGTGTGAGCAAAATTTTAGAATCACATACTGTTGATGCTTCATGATCGGTAGAAACTTCATTAGAACTCTGATATTCTTCATCCGAACTAATTGATTCTAATAAATCATCGTCATCCCCATCAAGGAAATGTGAATTATCATATTCCTGAAAATTCTTTAACCAATCCTGGACTTTAAAGATAGATTCCATTTGAGATTCATCTATTTGTACTAATTCCTGCTGATTTAATTCGATATTTTGAGGTAGATTTCTTAAATTTTTAGGACCATTTGAAATTGGTAAAGGAATTAACCTTTCTTTTATTACCTCAGTAAATGGAATTGATACTGTTTCAACATTCGTCCCTGATTGTTCAACTTTTTTTTGCCAATTAATATCTCTTGGATCCACATTTTCCCAACGTTTTGCAAATTCGCTGTCTGAATCTCGATAATCCATTAAAGTAGATGGTAGACGATCTTTTTGTTTTCTCCGAAAATTTTCCTTATTTTTTCTATCTTCATTAACTTGTTTTTGACCATATCGACACTCTTTTGCATGTGAGTCATGTGTATCTTGTGTGTGCTTACCTTTTTTTACATTTTTTACATTCACATTATTAAAATTGTTCCTAAATAATTTGGAATTTAAATTATTATTATTATCATTTATTTGAGTGTTCCTTATAATTTTTGGAGTGCGTGATTTTCGGTTCACTTTAATGTCAGAAGGTGCTCTTTGATATTTTGACCCGGTGTTCTGTTGAAACTTTTGTTTTTGTGCTCGTACCATTAATCTAATATGTTCAATTGACAATATTTTATTTGATGATAAGTCATCAAATAAATCTTGTTCATCAGATTCCATAGTCTCAGATAGAATATTATTTCTCTCTTCATTTTCTGTTGAAACGGTAGCCTCTTGTAATCCATTATCACCACTACCCAAATGCATTGTAGACGTTAATTCTTCAAATAATTTTTTCTTGGAAGTATGGTCGTTGTTATAATTTTTTATATGATATGTGCTTTTATCCATATTATAAAAATAATTTTTATAATATTACAAAGAAAAATTTATTAAATATTTACAATTAAGAGAGAATGTGAGAAGAAATACTACAACAATTGAGAACATAGTGCCACAAATTATACTGTGGGCCACGTAAAATCTGCCCAATTTATACTCATTAATATAACAATACAAAATGAAAAAAAAAAATAATGAATTTTGTGTAATTTTATTAATTTTATGTAATGTACTGTAAAATGTTTTATCAATAAAATCATAGCGAGAAGAATGAATTCAATAAGATAAATTACAAATCAAAAATGAATAAATTATAAAACAAAATCCCCCCCATCCCTAAATAATAATTTTTAATATAAACGAACTGATATTTAATATTATTTTTTTATATGTATTTTTATAATTTGGCAAATACTTTATCAGGCAAACCAAATACTATATAAATTATAATTCCAAGAAATACACCTATCCAATCGTTACTTGATATAGATGTCTCTTGAGGTTTACCACCTATAATGTTCATAATGGTTTTGACACAACCTAAAAGATTTATGAAAGCGAACCCTAAAGAAAAACCGGCCATACGAATTGCAGCCCGGCGTGTTAGACCATATGATTTACGATTAGAAACTTTTTTTCTCGTTGAACGGTTTCTTGAAATTGTAGGGATGGTGGAATTTATAGGATTCTCAGGGGTAGTGATATCTACGTCATAATTTGAATTTGGTTGTTGAGTAGAATTTGAAACTTCGGTAGCTATACTTGTTCTTATAACAATTTTTGTAGGCCTGTGCACAGATTCCTCTGGTTTCTTTGGTTCCTTTGATTCCTTTGTTAGTTTTCCGGATTCCTCATCTTCAACTTGATAATTAGGATCATTAAGTTCTTCCGTACTACTGGCTGAAGTTGAAACTGTAGTTTTGAATTGATCCAAATGTTTAAAAACTGCATAAGCGGAACGGGCTATTTAATTAATTATTAATAAATTAATACTTCGGGGGTCATTTAAATTTTGTTATATATAATGCAAGATAAAAAAAAAAAAATTTAATCGGTACCACTTATTATAGTTCCAGGGATACTAAGAATGAAATTTGTACCCGAATAACCGACTAATCTAACCCAAATAGGATCCAATACATCACTAAAATAAGAAAAAAAATAAGTATATAATTTAATACACTAAGAAACGGGACCGTTGTAAGTCCGGAGCACAAATGGTTATCTAAAATAATCTAAAAACGATCTCATTGGGTAATTATTTCGTTTGTGCGGAGAAACATCCGTGACCGAAATTTAGCGTAGAAATATATAGTCCTTCACTACGCTCCAGACAATAAACAAAAATAAAAAATTTACCAATTCAAAACTCTTGGTTTAATTGCATCATTTTTATAAGAGATTTTACCCAAAATTATAGTTATAATTACAGGATATATAAATATAAATAAATAAAAACACTTTTGTAAAAACGGGTCGGTTGTTTGTTTGTAGAGTACAAGTAATCGATATGTTTGGAAGGCAAAACATAGTCCACATGCCATTGTTAAGTAACAAGCATATTGTAGCTTTTTTTAAATAATAAAGAATTAATAAATTGTTAGAAATATCATTAAATAAAAATTTTCGTCAAAAAAAAAAAAAGAATATATATATATATATATAATATTTATATATTTACCAATAATCCTTGAGCAAAACAAAATGCATAAGGCGCTTTTTCTAATTCATTTTTATAGATTATGCTTGCCATCAAATCCACAGAAACAATCGAAGTGGAGAATGATAAAACTCCCACTATGATATTTTTTTTACGTACAGTTAATTTATAAGTTACATAAAGTGAACATATCAGTGAAATTGTGCACACTGTGTAGAGAAAGATCATCAAAGGAGTGTACATTGTATTATTATTATAGTAGAATTTTCAAATAATGGATAGTAAAAAATGTGGGTGAATGGAAATGACTCAAAGAATTAGCTAAGTTTAAATAAAAATTTTCAATATCAATCGCTATACATTAAATTTTTGCGATAACTAATTTGGGAAAGGTTAATTTTAACGACAAATTTCCAAATTAAATTCTTTTCTCCGCGATTAAGTTGTACAAAAATATTATGAAATCTTGAAACAATACCTGACAATACCTGATATGATTAGTTTACGATTTTATTGTGAATAGAGTTAATTTTTGTTAATTTTTGAGTCACGATTCATATATAATTTTCAAATATTAAAATTAAAAGAAATTGTAAGAGAATTATTAAAGAGAATGAATTCTTGTAATTTCATATTCATAAATAATATCCTAGAATATTAATTAACTGAAAGATAATGATCCATAATCATGATCAACATCGATAACCAATTAACATCGATAACCAATTAACGTACATCCCAAATTATTAATAAAAAAAACGGATCAAATTCTCAAAAAAGAAGGAATTTGAAATTTAAAATTAAAAATATTGTATTTTATTGGTTAACTCTCTGGATGGGTCATGGCGGTAATAGTTAATGCCTAACGCGAAACATTTTTTTACTTCTCGGATATTAGTTAATTTATTACGTTATCTAGAATTAAAGTTTAGTGATCGATCATCAAATAATTGCTTGGTAAAAATATTACTGGTGCCAATCGTTTCGCGTACTGACTTTTATCTTTAATAAGAAATTATATTTTTTTAATTTTTTTAAACATCCATATTTTTTATCCCTTAAACGGTAAATCATGTGAATTGCGGCCGCATTTATTAGTAACTTGTTACGTCTCTACCGTTTAAGGGATAATAATTCTCTTCAATTTATGTAATATCTTTTTTTTAAGTTCGATCAATGTAATTATTCATGTAATAACGTAAAAAATTACATAAGAGGTCTAGAAATGAAGTTTATAGAAACCACTTATGTAACCTATGTAACCAAAACGGTTAATTAAATCCCACTTCGGCTAAAGTTATAAAATAAGGTTTAATTAGATAATTTTTTTTTAAATGTAAGCACGCACCATTGAACAAAAACAGGAGTGGTTGATCAATTTACTAATTGGCAAAGGTAATATGAAATATAAATATATGAAATTAATAAATTTTTTCATGATTTGTAATTAAACTCAACTTCTTAACATATGCATATTTTAAGCTTTTCATATTTCATTAAAGAAAATCCGTAAGATGAAATTTCTTTATTCACGAAATATTAGAATGATATATATATATATTATATAAACATACGCACATAATAAAAAAAATAAATATTTAATTAATTATATATAATTTATATAATTTACCTTCGAAGTTTCAGAATAATTTGCTTTATCTTTATGAAATCTAACAAATTATGTATAAATACGCATTTGACTTTAATTATTGTTTATTGAGATAATTTATGGTTGTCATATTTTATGTAAAAATTAATTAAAAATAATTAAAAATTATTGGTTTACTAAGACTAAAGAAAGAGTTATATATATGTTATATGTGTCATATCTAAAATCATTTCATGTAGAATATATTTTTTCTTTTTGATGCAATACTTGTAAAAAAAAATATAAAAAATAATAATTGTTACATATATTCAATCACATACATATTTTATGTTCTGTGCCAATCAAATTTTATGAAATTTTGGTTATTTATCACTATAAAAAATTCACACTACTATTTTGTGTACTTCTGTAAGTGCAAGGAGTAAATCATTTAATAATGTTTAATAATGATAATAAAATCCATAAAATTAGTATCGTATTTAGATAGAGAGTAGTTATAGAGAGTAATTATAGAGAATAATTTAATATTTTATTTTATTTTATTTTATTTTATTTTTATAATAATAAATACTGTATATAATATTAATAAATATTTTATTTGATAATAATATCTATTCATAATCTAAATATTAAGAACTTTAAAAACTTCATAATCTTCTAATTCTTGTATATTATTATTATCAAGGAATCCAGCAGAATCAAAATAATTATAAGTAAAACATATTTCTATTGTATTATCATAAATTACTAAATCCCATCCATAACCGAAACAAGGTCCTTTACTATTTATATAAGAAATAGCATGTGAAGAATATGAATTATCTACTCTAGCTATTTTATTTTTATTACTATCATTATCAAAAAGAAATAAAAAACTTTCATTTGTCTTTCCCCAAGAACAAGTTTCGCCGTTAGAAGAATCATAAGGTTGCCAACTTAAAGGATTAAATCCTCCAATAATTTTATGTGAATTTTTTAATTTTGCTATAGTAATTGTTGCTCCTTGATTATCACATAAATTATGAAATGTTTTATTTTCAAATCCATCTTGACTTCCTCGATATAAAAGTTTGAATCTATTAGATTGATTATTATTATCGTTATTATTATTATTGTCGACATTTTGTATCCAATTTCTTAATTGATTAAAATGTTTGAAATTAATAATGCGTGAATTTTCAAAATTTCTTGGTGTTAAATTAATTAAATTAATTAAATTGTCATCAACTTTGACATGATCGATAAGGTCATTATCAATATCATAATAATCAAGTGTTTGAATATTTTGAGAATTTCGAAAATTTTGATGATGATTTGAAACATTTTGAAATAATTCTTCCGACAATAAATATTTAAATGTTGTAATTTCTTTCTGAAAATCTTTTGCTGAGATTTGATAAAATCTAATAAATGGAATTAATCCCTGAATGATTATTTTTAATTCTTTAAATTCTTTTTCTGTCCAATTATTAATATTAAAAAAATCATTAAAACTGTTAAAATTATTAAAACTATTAAAACTATTAAAATCGTGAAAATTTAATTGTGTAATTCCCCATTTCATTAAATATTTAAATATTTCAAATTCATCTAAAGCCAAATCATCTTGTTTTAATAATATTTTTAAAATAGATTCATCTAAATTTAAGAATGTTGATGATGCAAAAAATAATTTAGCATTTATACAAATAATTTTTATATATATCTCTCTAAATGATGAACAAGCTTCGTGATGAAAAATAATTTGTAGAATATCAATTGAATCTTGGTTCGATAAGAAGAATTGATAAAATTCATCCTTCTTATTAATCGCAAATAATTCAATGTTTTCGATAAGTGTATGAAGATTTAATTCATCTGCTGCGATTAAAAGTTGTAATATTTCTATTTTGTTTAATTTGTTTAAGTCGATAGTAGCTGAATATAAATATCTATTGATGAATTAATTAAATATAATATAATAATTTAATGAATATAATATAATAAATATAATAATAATAATAATAGCAATAATAAGGAAATACTCACTTTAAAATAATATCAAAAATAAATGGAGAAATGTTTGGTTTCTTAAAGATTAGAAAATTACCATCTTTCTTTACCCAATTACTTGAGAAAGCTGATTGAAAATATGAAGATCTGACACTCAAAATTATTGAATGTGCTCGAAATTCTTTATAGTCTCCTTCTCTTTCTCCTACATGAATGATTACATCTGAATTGAATTTATTTCCATATAACTTTCCAATATCATTTGATAATTCGGTACAAAAGTGCGATGCCATCATTTTATATGGTTTTAAGTTGTTTTAAGTTATTAAATAAATGCTTTTTTATGAATAAATATCGTTAGTTTTATCGCAATTCAATATATATTTTACTCATTTGCGTATACTTCAATTTTTTTTTAATAAAAGCGAGGCCTTGAATTATATATAGGTTTTTACGTATAACTATTTAAAGTAAAATTTACATTAAATATCAAGACTATTTAATAATTATTATTAATTTACTGAAATTTCTAAACAATACAGTAATGTACACATTTGTATTCCGTTATTGGTAAAATTTTAAAATTTCAATGAAATCCTATTTTCGTATCCAAGCCACAGTAAAAAGAAATCGTTGCTAATTATTAAAATAATAAAATATTCGCAGTATAAAAATAAATTTTGATTGTTTAGTGATACATTTATGTGGGTGGTATTTATTTATTATACACGCATTTACTCGTATGTAACTTATGTCACATTAATGTTGAGTTTATTGTAAAGTTCTAACGCCACATCTTCAACTCAATTATACAATAAAACATTATAAGAGTAATCAAAAAAAAAAAGGTTATAAATAACAAAAATAAGACCATTAAAGTGTTTTTTTTTTATTAAGTAATCACAAGGTGACTACAAACAACACAGAATCTCACACTTTAACAACAGAATTTGAGATATCTTTTATCTCCTTCTCTTCCTTTCTCCCTGTTCACACAGGTAGAAATAGAGATAGAGGTATATGCGTAGGTTTATAAATAAATAATACAAAAACGGCCAGTCAAGAGGTTTTATTATAATATTACGTTAAAAATACTTTTAGAAGTCTGAAATTCGAAATTTTTCGCGTGATCATCTAATGCTCAAATAATAAAAAGCGTAATTATAAGAACATGTATTAACAATTAAAATAAACCTAAAATATTTAATAATTACATATTAGTTAGCTTTTGATCTATTATAATTTTTAAATCTTTCTTCGAATTATAATAATTATGTATTATTATTCTATAAATTAACTCGCAAAATATTATATATCCAGATTTCCGGATCACGTGCTCGCGCAAGTCGGTTCTAATGCATCAGATGACATTTGAGTTTTAACCTAGACCCGGGTCTAGGATTTTATTCTAAACACCCATGATTTCGAATTTTGATTGGTTTATAATGTGACAGGTGTCAAAAAAGGTTCACGTGAAATTTTATGTAGGTGACGACGAAACCTGAGTAACAAATATCTACAGTGTGGAACCTCTATAATAGGAACCTATTTATAATAAAAATTGTTCAGTCTTTTAGTATAAACTTTATTTACTATATATAGAAATAAAATTTTAACCATAAAAATTGATAGCTCAGAATCTAAGTTTTCAGAATCATCAGTTAAAATTTTGATCTGACTTAAATTGATCAACTTTTACTGGAGTTGTAGTTTTTTTTCTTCTTATTATTACAATTTTACTAGTAAGAACTCTACTAAGTTGCTTTAGATATATTATTTTTGAAGCAAAGTTGATCTAACAAGATTATCAATATATTAAGTTCATTTTGTGTAGAACTTATTATACATATACAGTAGACACCCTCTAAAGTTATCTTCTATATAAGTACTCTCTTCTTTAAATCACACTTTAACTTGGTTTGATTTTTTTATAAATAAATCTCTTTATATAATCACAATATTAGTTATAAGCATAGTGATATTGTCATCAGTGGTTCCTGGTTCTCTTGAGAATAAACTGGTGAAGTGACTTAACAGTTCTTTCAAGAAGTTTATAGTTCTTTTTCAACGGTAAGACTGTTGTTCAGTTGTTTTAGAAGGTACCATTGATTCAATTATTTTAGAAAGGGAATCAAACCTTTCATTCAATTTATTTCAATATCTTTTAAGTTCATCATTACTTTTAGTATTAATATTCATTCATTAATTGTTTTTCAGTTTTATCATAATTGAATATTACTTTCATTTATCCAGATTAAGTATTTTTCCAAATCCAGGGTTTATAATAATAGTTTGTAATTAATTTCATTAACTCAAGAATAATAATATTATACAATTATACAATCAAGTATTTAATCTTATAATATCCATTATTCCTTTATTTATTATTATATCTTATATTTAATAATTATTTTTATAACTTTTTATTTTATATTTCCAATATTTATTATTTTATTAATTCAGTTGCAGGATAATTTTTACAAGTTTTTATCTTTGAGTTACAAATTATAAAATTAAATTTATTAATTTCAAATAAGTTACAAATTATTAAAATTCAAAATTATAAAATTGTAAACTAGAGTCCTTTTTATACTTAAATCTAATGATTTTCATTACTATGCCACTACTGTGCCTTACTGGATATTACTGTGTCTTACTGTGCACTACTTCTATTGGTTACTATTTCTTTATATTATTTACTAAATATATTAATAATTATTATTAAATAATGATATATAATATTAATTAATGTTATGAATTAATTATTATTTTTGTGTAACTAAATATCACGTGAATATGTGATCTTGTACTACTATTTCGTGGTTAATTAATATGTGTTACTGGTTATAAATATTAGTTGAAAAATTATTAAACTATTACTATTTGTTAACTGAATTAATATTTACTAATTAAATTTTAAACACTACTATTTTCTAAGTTATTATTAATTATTTGTGGATGTTTTGATATTGTATACTATACTTTTTGATCATGATAATTTCATTCTATAACAATACCAATTGTCAATCCCAATAATATACAAATATATAATAATTTTCCTCTATATAATCACATGAATTCTTATATAAATTTGTAAATATACGCAATTATGCAATATGTGCAATTATGTGTCAGTACTATATTTGCATGCAAAATTATTTTGGAGTCTCGAAATTACAATTTCAAAAAAAAAATCAAAATAGTTTCATAAAATCTGAAATTTTTTGATCATCCAGATTTATTCTTTGATTAAAGATACATATAACTGGATACTTTTTTTACTTCCATATATAGAATAGATTCTGCATAAATCTCAAAAAGTCGAAATATCTCAAAAATCCAAAATCAATTTTGAAAACATGTATTTAGTATATGCAGTTCATGTATTATACGCAATAACAAAATTATTTAGATTATTTATTCACTCTCAAAATATTCAAAATATAAACTGAACTTACTTTGCTATTAGTATAAATATAAAAAAAAGAAATATATAAATATATGTTAACAAATTCTAATATAAATTAAACTTTAGTTATATTATTTTTTAATACAAAATATTTTGGGTTAAATATTAATAGAACAACTATAAGTAAATATAAAAAAATTGACAAAAATAATTAATAATACTGTAACACCTGAAATTATTATTTTTATCTTTTATTTATTATTATCTTCTTTATTTGTATTATTATTAATTATAGTTAATTTTGTAAATCAGTGGTACGAATTAAGAAGTGCTACATTTAAAGATTATCATTGTTAATTTACCCAGGTATATACCTAGGTACGATACCTAGGGAAATACCCAGGTAGGATACCTGGGGATAGGTAATGAAATTACCTTTGATAATATTATTTGTATCGCTTGGCAAAGAACCAATCTAGAGTAGAGAATAGTATAGTTTGTCTGCGGCACGAATGGTGTCAAAAGGATATAAATACAGGCCTCTTTAGCCTTGGTTTTAGTCAGTCAGTTCCAGATCAAGTTTAATAGTTCAAGTTTAAGTTCCTTAGTTATTTAATTAATAATCCTCTGATTTATTCTTTTAATAAATATCATTTCTTTTATTATTTTTATATACTTATCTTTTATTATTTATCATTATATATCTTATCCATTTCTTATATTTCTTGTATTTATTTTAATAAAGTTGATATTAAAATAAAGTCTTCGTATAATTTATCGACTTTGAATCTTTTACACATACACCTTGCTAAGTTACAAACTAACTTGGTGTTGTAAAAACCCCGTCACAATAAAGAATTCACTCCTAAGTTGACCCTCTTCCCTAACTCTGTAATTTGCTATAATTGGTCGAGTAGGATCAATCGGAAATAGCACGATAATTACATAACCTTTTGTTAGTTTTTGTTAGAGAAGATTCTCTATCCTTCAGAACATTGTCATACTGGGCACGCGACAATATTTAAAATATATTTTGTTAAATATTTTTCAAGTATATAAAAAACTATTTAAATATTTTTATTTTATAATTAAAATATACTTAATTTAGGTAATAGATAAGTATATTTTAGGTATATACTTAAAATATACTTAATTTTAAATATGTTTTAATAATATTTTAAACATATTTTAAATATATACTTAAAATATACTTATTCATTATCTAAATTAAATATTTTTTAAGTATATTTTAAATATATTTTAAATATATTTTAATTATAAAATAATAATATTTTAAATAGATTATTACAAATATAATTAAGTATATTTTAGAAAAAAACTCTTTCCATCAATTACTTATACCTAGGGATAGGAATTGTGATTACGGACTCGCGATTAATCACGAGTCAAATATATATTCGAGTCGAATTTTGGCGAACGATTAATCGCAATTTTCATAATCATTGAAAATTGCCAATTAAATCGTGATTTTATAATCGCTGATTAAATCGCGATTTTCATAATCGTTTATATTAATTTGATTATCAATGATAATCAAATTAATATATATAATTTTAAAAAAATTTTTTTCTTTTATCAAACTATGAGTGATAACAAACCATACGTATATATAAAACCTTTAAGAAAGGTTCCTGCCATCAAAACAGTTGAAAAAAAATGCCACTACAAAAAAAAAGAAGAAGAAGAGGTAGGAGGAAAAAATTATGAAGTATATAGAAAAAGAGAAGTGATAGGAAAAAAAGTGTTAAAGGAGGGAAGCTAAGGGATGAGAGGGATGAGAGGAACGAGAGGGACGAGAGGAACGAGAGGGACGAGAGGAACGAGAGGGACGAGAGGAACGAGAGGGACGAGAGGAACGAGAGGGACAAGAGGAATGAGAGGGACAAGAGGGACGAGAGAAACGAGAGGGGCGAGAGGGACGAGGTGGAAGAGAGGGACGAGGTAGAAAATACCATTCTGAAATCGCCAAAATCGCCGATGCCAAAATCACCGATGCCAAAATCACCGAAATTACTGTCGGAAAAAGGGAAAGGGAAAAGCGAGAAAGGAGAGGAGTAAAAGAACAGGAAGAAATATTGGAAAGGGGAAGGAAAAAAAAGGAAAGGGAAAACTCTGAAATCGCCAATGTTGAAATCATTGAAATCGTTAAAATCGCCGAAATCACCGTCACTGTCGTTGAAAAAGAAAGGGAGAAATGAAATAGGAGAGAAACAAAAGAGGACAAAAAAATAGCAAGGAAGAAACAGGGAGGAAAGGAAAGGAAAGAGGAAAGAGAAGAGAGAATGTATAAGAAAATAGATGAGGAAATTGAAGAAAAGAGTCTAGAAGAAGAGGAAGAGAATAACAACAACAAAATCATCGCGGAGATCTGGTACGAATATCAAAGGGGGAAGAAAGGAAAAGAAAAAGCAGTAGAATATGAAGAAAATAATGCTGAAGATGTAGAAACCACTAATTTTCTAGATGA